TAGCTACGGGGTATCCGTGAGAGGGGAAACGATATTCTCTCGATGTTTTTCGTAAAAAAATAGTCCCATCAATAAAAATTCATTAAATTTGCAAGTAGCCAATAAAATGAGTGGGCGGAGCGATTTGCGGTGACGCACTCGTCAAATCGACGTATAAAATATATTGCTGTTTATTTAAATGTTTTTTGTCCGCATTCCTTTCATAGACACAGATCCAGCAGATGTACTGTATACTACCTCACAGGTGATGCGGAAATGTGTGCATATTATGAAAAATAACGAGTTTTTCAACTTTTGAAATCGTCATATCTCAGGAATGGTGGTTCGTAAGAAAAAATATGAAAAAAGTTCCTATAAACATGGGTGCATCATTTTAAAGATATAGGAGGTTTAAACCTTTAAAAAATAGATGTTTTGTATATACCGGGTGCGTTTGAAAAGTGGCTTACCCCTATAACTTTTTTATTTCTATAAATAAAAAAACGATATCTGGTATGTTAGTAAATGACATAAATTAGGATTGATTGAGGTATTCAATTGTTTTTGGTCACTTCCTGTTTCACCGGAAATGATTTTAACTTTTGAGTTTTAAATGGCACCCTCGGTATTTTTTTTACTTTATTCGATAGAAAATGACATTCTGAATAGAACGACATATCATATGTCAACTTTTGACATTCCCGCTTAATAAAAAATATAAAAGTATCGTGTCATGGACAAAACAAAAGAAATATGTTTCCTTATGTTAACATATTACGCCTCTTACGAGCTTTTTACCGCTCTGAGCCTGAGTTAATAGGCTGAGTTAAATAACTTGCGAGATCTGTGGACTAATCACGAATTAAAAAAATAAGAGGACTAACTGGGCATTAGGTTATAAATATTGATGAACTGAAAGTTTCAACCCACTGAACCAGGTTTATATCTCTGCGTACATCTAAGTATGTAGTCCAGTTCTGTGTTTTAAAATAAATATTTTTCTTAATTTAAACTCTTCAAGAAAACTATTGAATGTTGGTTTCAATATTGTTCAAACTGAAACAATTACCCAAAAATATAAAGAAATATTAATATAAAGAACATTCAAAAGCGACATATACCCGAAGTTAAAATTGTAATGCAGGATACAAACCAAAATACCACCAAAATATTCAGAACTTGATTGACACGATTTGATATTTGTTTTCTACTTTTAATATTTGAGATATACCGTATCATCGAAAAAAATCCGGCATTGGCTTGGAAATGATGATCGATAATAAATATTAATATCATTAATATCGATAATTGATATCTATAAATGACAGCGATCTTCATTTCATATCCATCGCTGATGCCGCTTTTTTTTCGATCATACGTTATAACTGTTAAATAATAATAAAAAAAATCTGTGTCATTTTTTACAATGCTTATATTTGATAGATATGTATATAAAAAATGGTGCGATATGTCATGAAATTATTTGATTCTAATCAGATTCAGAATCAAGATACAGTTTTTTAGTATCAGTATTTTATAAATACTTAGTTTGGTTTGGTTGTAAAAATACGTATTTTATATCTAGTATCGTTTAATAAGTTCAAATACCTTTTTCAAAAGTATTTTGTAACTGATATCTGAAATACTTAGCTTAGAGGTTAGAAGTATCTTGTAACTTGTATTTCAGATACTTTTTATAAGGTATCTTGTAGATCTCTGTATAAGCTGGTATAAGTAAGTAAAAATAAAGTATTTGAAGTAAACGTTTTAATTTTGCTGCCAAGAAGGCTAATCTGGCAGTTGTCAGCTGTATCATGCCTACGACTTAGCGAGTCTATAAATTCCTCACGAGCAGGACCGCTTTATCCATTAGGCAAGATAGGCAGCTGCCTAGGGCGGCAGGCTGATGAGGGGCGGCATTTTTTTAATGAAAACAATTCGGAAAAAATATGTTCGAAAATAAAACATACTGGGACAATATTGTATTAGTTAATTATTAAAATAAAATAGATCTATGTAAATGCAAGACGATTCGAACAACTTTGACAAAGAAACCAACCCCTTCTTAAAAATATAATTTTTAGTTTAAGATTTTTATTATCCTTTTTTGTTTGGTTATATTGTTACTAATTAATGTTAAAATTTATTTTTATGCAGTTTATGTTAACCTCTTTAAAATAAAAATGTACAGGTCGTGTCAAACAATTAGCAACAAATGAGAAAATATTTTATGATTTAGTGATTGAAAAAACTGTTTCTGTAGATTTTCTTCATCATGTTCAATTTTATTAATAATGATGTCGTGCGACATACTACAAATATCTAATGATAAATCATGATGGACTAAAATAGCCAAAAAGTGAAAGAGAAAAGTTGTTCAGAATTTGATTTGATGTCTATTTATCAATTAATAATTTCACCCAAGTATCATTTTTCTTCTGTTTTTAACATATTATTTCCATTTATTGACAATAAATTTGTTGTATAATAACACTGTACGAATCTACATATGGTAATAGGTATATTTTAGTAAATGGGGCTTTTTGAATTTTCTTTAATATTCTTTTGAATTTCCATAACATTCATCATTTCGTCATTTTAAAAAAAAGCATCAAATTCTTTTAAATCTCAATGAAATATTTCCGTTTGTTGACAATATACATATAGCTATATACAGGGTTGTTCACCACATACGACACGGAGTATTGTAGCCAAACGATTAGATTTTTACAAATTCTAAGTTTTGGGTTCGTTGAAGGACTATTAGAGCTACAATTTAAAAATAATTTTACAAGATACATAGTGTCCCAAATCAGAAAAAATGTTATAGTTGTATTTTTTTAAATGAGACACCCTGTATATTATTCTATTTTTAGATCCTGCGATTGAAATAAAGGTGAATTTGATTAAGGTTTATCACACTTAAACCTTACCGTTTATGAAATATTTTCAATTTTGTGAAATTGCAGTAAAAAATTTAAGGCCTCATTTCTACAGGGGTGTCAAAGTTTTTAATACTAAATATTTACTGAAGATTATTTGTTGATCAGATATTGTGTTGCAATAATAATAATTGTACTTTTTTCTTTAAAAATTTCAAAATACTGACTCTTCCTTCTTTATTCATTTTTGAATCCGTTTGCTTAATCTGCAAGCACATATCTGCTATTCCCGAAAGGCCATCTTATAACTATCCACTTAGGAATGCGGAGCACGATCTTTATCTGCCAACCCCGAGCTCAGAACTAGTTAAAGGTTCAATACTGTATAATGCCAAAAAAATGTACAATCATCTGCCTTTAAATATCGGTTTTCATTCTTTCCCGCATTTCGCAAAGCTCTAAAATCATACTTACTGGAGAGAGCCCTATATACGGTAAACGACTTTTTTGTTAATGTTTAATTATGAACAATTTTGAATTTTAAAATTTTGATCATCTCACACACTGGTCAAAAGTCAAGTATTTAATATTTTATAACTCTAAACTTATATCTATTTACTGCGTACTGTTCTGCAATTGTCCATGTATATTCTTTTTGATATTTTAATGACTTAAATTTATTTGAATTGTATTATTTGTATTGTGTATTATTTGTTGTTTGTATTTTTTTGTGCTTTTGTTTGTTTTGTGAGTGCTTTGTCGATGAAGCCGTTTTGGCTTTTTGTACAATAAAGCGTTGTTTAAATTATAAGAAAATGCATTTTCTGCGAAAAGTTGAAGAGATAGATAAAAGATGGTATAATACAATTTGATAGACAATTAAATTGTGCATCTGATTCACCTAAAATATACAGGGTGTTCCATTTAAATTAAACAAGTTTTTGCCGTTTATAGCTAGTAATTATTTAATATAAATTTTTGGACACTCTGTATAAGGTAGTACAATTTTTATTATTGCAACAAAATAACTGATCAATAAATAATCTTCAGTAAATATTTAGTATTAAAAACTTTGATTCCCTTCGAGAAATGAAGCCTTAAATTTTTTACTGCAATTTCACAAAATTGGAAATATTTCAAAAACGGTAAGGTTTAAGTGTGATAAACCTTAATCAAATTTACCTTTATTTCAATCGTAGAATCTGAAAATAGAATAATATATAGGGTGTTCCATTTAAAAAAATACAACTATAATATTGTTTACTTATTTGGGACACTCTGTATCTTGTAAAATTATTTTTAAATTGTAGCTCTAATAGTCCTTCAACGAACCCAAAACTTACAATTTGTGAAATTATAATCGTTTAGCTACAATACTCCGTGTCGTATGTGGTGAACAACCCTGTATAACCATAGGCTATAACAAACTTTACTTGAATTCTTATTAATTGAAGGGGGCGACAAAAAAAATGGTGCCTAGGGTACTAATGCACCTTAACGCGGTCCTGCTCACGAGATATCTTCTATATATTTCTAATATTTGACCACAAAAATTAAAATCTTAAAAATATTAACTTTATAATCGTCATGCTTTTGCTTTGTATGAATATTTTTCTTATCAAAATATTATAATGTTACATGTTTCCAAACAGATTAGTTGTTATTCGGTTTACGCGAGTTGAATTAAAATTTTTATTTTTTTAAAATACTAGTATCTGATTAGTTATGTAAATGATGTGCCAGTTTGAAGAATCTTATTTTACTTTTATATTAAATATGTGCATTTATTAATTTATTAAATCTATGTAGGATGCTGCTATAAAAATCTATTTTTTATTATACGCTTAGCTATATATGTACATCAGTCCGCGGTTGAGTAATTTATTTTTAAATACCTTAAAATACATTTAAAATAATATATTGATTTTATTATAAATTTAAGAATTACCTACCTAATTAGGCGAAGGTACAATTTTGACATGTTTATAATAGTATACAGAAGTGTTTATGGAAAACTTTTGACTGGTTTATCGGACACAAATATCGATTGAATATAGAAAGCTAAGGGTGCCAAAGACATATCAGGAATTATAATCACGTCACGAAGTCACTTGTCTGTTGTGCTTGAAATTAGATTACCTTTAATGAAGGAAGCCAGTGTATGTCAGCTAAAGCGGCGGCTATACGGTAGCAACTTGTCTGCACAGTATAGTTTGCGCAAAATAGAAGGAACACTTTGTGGTGTCCACACGATTTAAGTAGGATCGTACATTCATCATTATTTTTATTCAGAATTTGTGGTTCCGTTCGTGGAAATGTCAAGGGACGAATTATTGTTTAACACAAAACCCACAAGAGTCACAAAACTGTAGTTTGAACTCGCTGATACCGTCTACACGTATATCACCGCACAAATTGGTTTGCACAAACTAAAATCTTTAGCAGCGTGACGTTTAAAGGGCCGGCTACACGTACAAGCTTTACCACGAGCTTACCTGCACAAACCTGTTTGTATCAGGAACTCGCTGTGTAGACGGTAAAACGGTAGCACGCACAAACCAACAAGCTCGGCCTGTGTAAAGCGGCGGCTATACGGTAGCGACTTGCCTGCACGGTATAGTTTGCGCAAACTAGAAGGAACACTGTGCGGTGTCCATACGATGCAAGTAAGAGCGTACATTCATCATTATTTTTATTCTGAATTTGTGGTTCCGTGGAAATGTCAAGTGACGAATTATTGTTTTTGTATTACTTATTGTTAAAGAAAAAACAGCAAAATAAATGATATAGATCGAAGTGGGGTAAAAACTGGCTTTTAAATAGAAAACCATTTTCTTGTACGCATATATTTCCGTTTCTATAGGAATAATCTTTCGATATTGATCGCTGTCTATGGAAGATAAAATTGAAAGATTATTCCGATAGAAACAGAAAAAATGATGCGTACAAGAAAATGGTTTTCTATTTAAGGCAGTTTTTACTCCACTTCGATCTATATCGTTTATTTTGCTGTTTTTTCTTTAACAATAAGCAATAAAAAACAATAATTCGTCACTTGACATTTTCACCAACGGAACCACAAATTCAGAATAAGAATAATGATGAATGTACGCTCTTACTTGCATCGTGTGGACACCGCACAGTGTTCCTTATAATAATAACAAAACAACCAAAAACATAACCTAACCCAAAAAAATTAATGTCGACCACAGATGTGGACAACGCACAGTGTTCCTTATAGTTTGCGCAAACTAGAAGGAACACTGTGCGTTGTCCACATCTGTGGTCGACATTAATTTTTTTGGGTTAGGTTATGTTTTTGGTTGTTTTGTTATTGTGTGTTATTCTCGAGATTAATCGGGTAATGTCGACATTAACCGGACATCGGACCTTAACCGTAACATATTATGTATTTCCCGACCCCTGAGAGCGACCAGTACGAACAGTACAGCGTATAAGTACAGCCACAAATTAACTACAAGTACAGCGTAATAGACTCTAAGCGGATAAACAGAGTTATATTTAGTTCATCCATAAGAATATTTTTCCTAATGATTATTATTCATTTGAGATATTCGAATGACCTTGAAACTATGACAAGAATTCTATTTACTAAATAACGTGACTTCAATTATCAAAGTTGTTGGGGAATGATCTAGATCGATGTTCAACGGTTAGTGTATTGATTTTGAAAACTGGTCTCTGGAATTAATCAAAACAGTGTGACAATCAGGTGGACGTCGCACGCTTGATTAATGGTGATATAAAAACAAACGAAGATCTGAGAATCTCCATGACCAGTCGGTTCAGGTTCACTAGAGCATTAGGCCCAAATGGCTAGGTTTACACCGTTACGATTTATAGAACATTATTTTAAAAATCACTAAAATTACGTAAAATAAAGTGAATTATCTATACTAATATATAAAGTCGTTAAGTCACTGACATACTGATTAATCACTATCCTGCTCAATCCACTCAACGTAAGAAGCTCAACTTTGGCATACAGATTGATTCTAGGGTGTAGAGGTTCGATAAGAAGGGATTTTTCGAAATTCCAGTTCTAAGAGGGTGAAACCACCCCTCAAATATTACAATATTTTTTATTTAAAAAACGGCCAAGTTTCCGAAAAAACGCTTAAACACGTATATTTTATATTGTTTTTTTTACGTATTTTAAGATTTTTTAAAAATGTATACAGGATGTTTCGAAAAATCTGATAATTGATTAATCACGATCCTGCTTAAAGCGCTTGACGTAAAAAGCTGATTTTTGGAAAACAGATTGACTTTAGGGTGTAGAGGTTCGATAAGAAGGGATTTTCGAAACTCGAATTCTAAGGGGGTGAAACTATCCCTCAAATATTAAAATATTTTTTATTTAAAAACCGGTTTTTCGGAAAAACTCTTAAACACGTACATTTTATTTTGTTGTTTTACATCCATTACATTTAAGATTTTTTATAAGTTTATACAGGGTGTTTCATAAAATATGACCATTGAGTAATCACGATTCTGTTTAAACTGCTTGACGCTTAAAGCTGATTTTTGGCAAACGGATTGACTGTGGGGTGTAGAGGTTCGATAAGGAGGGGTTTCTCGAATATCAAATTCCAAGAGGGTGAAAACGCCCTTCAAATATTCAATATTTGTTATTTAAAAAACGGTTAATCTTTCGGGAAGTTTGTATGTTAATGGATATTCTTGCTTTGCTTTATCATCACCATTACAAATGATTAATTCGACGCGAACGAAGTCGCTGGTACACGCTAGTATAAGATAAAATAAATAAGAAGATCAAGTTTACAATAATGATCAATAAAAAATGAAAAAAATATTTTACATAATATTTTGATAATAAAACAACTCTTCGAAACATGTCAAAGTCGCATTTCGTCACCCAACTTAGAGGCATTTCGATTTATTTCCAGTTGTCTTGGCTCACTTCGGTTTGTCTTGACCTACTTTCGATGCATAAAAGCGCCTGAAAACTACTCGTGATGAGGGCGTGGGGGGATTTTTTTGCGTTTTTTATTGCCTCGTTCAATTTTGTTTTGTTTTGAGCTATTTCCAAGACGTGGCGGTATCTGTATCCGAGGCAAAGGATTTTGTTTTCATAAATCTCAGTAAAATAAGTAAACCTAGACTTTTCTCAAATAGCTGCTGTTACGATGATATTTCGTTAATTACATCTCGTTTTAAGTTATATTGATATATATTCCATAGAATTAATATTTGAACACGCGTTTATTATATGTATAGTAGATATTATTTAGGAACAAAAATTTTCACTTGTTTAAGTGAAAAGTTAACTGCAGGAATATAATTACAATATTTTTATGATTTAATTTTATTACAACGAATTAGTATAATAAAATGGTATATGATAGGTTTGTTTACGGCCTTAATTGATTAATATAACAGTAGTATTGTTTGATGAGTAATACTGGTACCTAACATACTCGTATATCCGCTTGGGAAAATTATTAAGTAACCCGATGTCAACAAAAGTGTAGTCCACGGACATTATTTAAAAGCAATGTTCTTTTATTGTTCTTAAGAGAAATATGTAAACGATACTTTTATTAGCACCCAGCATGGTTTGATATAAATCCATTCAACTAGTATTTATTATGCAGGGATTTAGACAATCGAAACTAGAAAAACAAAACCAAATACGTAAATTAAACTTTGCTACAGACTAAAATATAAATGTTACTTTATCATAACCAGAAATAATAAATAATTAACCGTTTTTTTCAATAATTTTGTGTATATTTCGTTCATAAGGCGCAATACCGTGGATTATAAGCCGACAAATGGTAGACCGCTAGTTAGTCACTGTTTGTGTGTATTGTTTTTACTATATTGTAATTAATAATATTAGATAATGATTAAAACTAAATATTCTTGTGTAACCTTCGAGGAATAGCCAATTTAATCTACCATCGGTAACGTAAGTAAGCCCATGTTATAAAAATTAAATTAGTTTCCCCGCTTCCCCAGACGCGCAATGATTGTACAGTACGTCCGCCGGTTCTGTAGCTACGGGGAATCCGTGAGAGGGGAAACGATATTCTCTCGATGTTTTTCGTAAAAAAATAGACGACGCGTCCCATCAATAAAAATTCAACAAATTTGCAAGTAGCCAATAAAATGAGTGGGCGGAGCGATTTGCGGTGACGCAGTCGTCAAATCGACGTATAAAATATATTGCTGTTTATTTAAATGTTTTTTGTCCGCATTCCTTTCATAGACACAGATCCAGCAGATGTACTGTAAACAGGGTAGTAAACAAACAACCAATCACGGCGCGTCTCGATCTTTTTCAGGAAACGTGGGAACTAATTTTTATAACACGGCAGTGGCGGCTCGTGGCCCGTGTGACTGGGTAGGCGACAAAATTTTAGTTGTGTCTATTTGCCCACCCCCCATTTCTTAAAATAAAATTCGCAAAGATATTTGACTTAGCCGCTTTATTAACATATCGAATTGAAATAGCACACTGAGACTTTTCTGTAATATCTGTTGTATCGTCTTCTTGCACCGAATAAAATAACGCGCTTTTTCATTTCGGATTCTTTTATTTCTGTGGCGTGTTCTGAAATACAACCAATTAATATCATAATCTCGGACAAGCTCGAAATGTTTCCAATTTGCTTTAAATGTTTTTCCAATTTTCATATAACAGTTTTAAATGCTACGTATCATGAATCATATGAAATATCCCCTTAACGAAATGTGATATATATCTCCTTATGAAATATCGGGAATATCCCCTTAACTTCGAAGCCTACCGAGCCTCCACGACTTCATGCAAAAGCGACCGGAGATTTCGCCTAAGCCCCGCCTTAATACGATACAGCTCCGACTTACGTCGCGTCGCTACCGCACGATGAGTTAGACAGAGACAGAAGACTGCCGTACGTCGACCACAAATATTAGAATAATATTGATTATTAAAACACACTTCCGTAACAGTATTATAACTTTAACAGTATTTTTATGTATTGACAACATCAATAGTAAATAATGTAATATAATAAACCGCTTAAATTCTGCCAAAATCTTAGGGTAGGCGCTGGCTACCTTGCCTACCCTGACGAACCGCCACTGTAACACGGGCTTATATTTATCGTACTATTTCCAGAAATGTTTTGCGTAATGTTTCACGAAATATTTCGTAATTTCGTAAAACATTTCGGGGGTAGTGTAGGGGCTGTTTAAGAATGGTTAATTGTTATGTGTACCGTATGATAAAAAGAAACGGATACAGGTGGTTATTATGAAATGTCTTATTTCTATAACGAATTTGGCGTGAAAAATAGTACCTAATATTTATTTCCATTAAAAAACAAATTTTAATAAGGCGTATAGTAAGAAAATACCGTATGATTATGATCGAAAAAACCGGCATCCAGTTGTCTTGGAAATAACGATCGAAAACATTTCCCATATAATTTTATATATAAAATGACACCGATCTTCATTTCATAGCCATCGCCGATGCCGTTTTTTTTCGATTATACGGTATATAAAAAGATTAACTTTTATATTCTTCAACTAATAGGTACAAGATAATTTTATTTATATAGTAATATAAAAATCTTAAAATATTTTTTTTAATTCGATAAGATTCCTAAAATTCAC